GTGGTAACTCTGCAGGATCCAGAATGACAGTGTCAAGTGGGACTGCCACAGGCAGAAGGGGCAGGTGATTGCTTCAGTACTGGATGGGCAAACACACATGGCAGAGGGCAGACAGCTGCTCTGTGTAGGGTGTGTGAGTGTGCATGGTGGAGGGCAGCTACTCCATGCTGTGTGCAGATGCACATGGCAGATTCTGCTGGTGGCCCAGGGCCCCAGGGCTTTGTGTTCCCTACTTGCAGAACCTGGATGTTGCAGTGTGCCAGCTAACACCATCCCTCATGGCAGCTGGTGGTTATCCTGTGACATGATATTTTGGTAGAAATTCCTGGGAAGGGCTTTCCTGGCTAAATAAAATAGGCAAAACTATTGAAGAGGAGGTTTTTTTCTTTTCCTTCAACCTACTCTTCTGTTTTTTCCTGCCTGGAATGTGAAGACTAGAGGTTTAGCAGCCAAATTGCAATCATGAGGACGAAACCTATCTTAAATGTGGCAAAGCAGAACAGTGCAGTAGCGTGGCCCCTCAGTGCCATCTGTAAGGTGCTTGTCTCTGACTGCCAGTCTCACACTTATTCTGAGAAAAAAGGAACCTCTCCATGCTTAAGTGGCAGGTTGTCAGGTTTTCTGTTGTTAGCCAAACACAATCCTAACATACATTAGCCAGTTTTTCTGAGAATTTTGGGGGAACTCGGGCCCTGAGAGAGCTGTTCTTGTTTTTCTTATGAGTTGCAGCATGAGCAAGTGCTCTTAGAGAGCCATTCAACATCAGATCTGTTGGCCATGGAGACCTATGGATGATCTCAGGGGAACCCAGCAGGAGGCACCTATGGAAATGAGCATGTCTCCTAGCAGGTTTAGCTCTGTAGAACAGAGCTCTTGGGGTGCCATAGGAGGGTTAGCCAAAGCCAGGTCCCTGAAAATGGAATTGTAATTTAAGGAAACTTCTGAGTTCTAATTTGGGGAGTGGGGTGTTGGGGAGCAATGATGTTCAGTGGAGACCAATTTAGGTTAATGGTCTTAAGGACGAAAATCAAGTGCATAAATTCCATTTAGTATGAGCAAAAATGGCAGGAACACCCAGGGGTCAGAGCAAGGAGAAAATGAACCTTCAGCTGGTGGTAAGGAACCCGGGTGTGTGTTGAGCTTTGTCATGTACAAAGCCAGTGTTAAGGTTCCATAGGCCTTTGTTTCTTTGCTCCTCTCAGCAGCTCCATTACTATGCACTGTGGCTCTTCCCATTTCACAGAGAGGGAACTAAGGCCCAGTGGGCTGCCTCACACACAGTACCCTGTGGCAGGAAGCAAGCTGGACCCCAAGGGCAGGGATGAAAACTTGATTGAGAGCTACAGAAATACAATACCGGAATGGAAAACAAGACTGCTTGGCCAGGAAGGCACGTGGACTTTCATACTTAGCCCTGAGTACCCCGTGGATGACTGGGTCAGAAAGCAAGCCAGGCATCTCAGCTTGTGCCACAGATGGGATGGCACTGCCTGGGCTCCAGTTCATGCCTGTCCTTTCTGGCACAGCAGCTTCCCCTGAGCTAGGGACCCCTGGTATGGGCCAACTCCTCTTGCCACCTTCTCCCTGAAGTGTCCAGCTGCTAGAGCACTCTAATGGGCATAGCTCCCAGAGGAGGGGCGCTGGGTTGAATCTCTCTGCCTAGAAAGCGCGTGGATATCCACATTCAGCCCTAAGTGCTCCGTGGATGGCATGGGCCTGACAGCAGGCCAGAGCATCTTCTGGTCAAGGCTATTGTGTAATTTACAAACTGTGCCTCAGGAAGGAAACTATTCCACAGTGTTTCCAGGTTACTAAGTGTTATTTGCTACAGAAGTAACCCTACAGTTCCTGAAATTACTTAGTATTCCATTTTTAGATGCACCATTTTAGAAATGCCTGTAAAATGTTAATGCTCAGAACATCTGCGAGGTGGAGGGTGAGTGGGGTCGAGATCATCTTGGACAGTTTCAGTTTTTAGTGCCTACACTAGACTAGTGTTCTGCAGACGTGTCCTAGGGGGGATGGTAGTTCATGCTTGAGTTTAGTAGGAGATGACAATCACTTCAGTGAACTTCTGATAAAAGCCCATTTTGGGGGGCAGGGGGGGGTGAGGGAAGATTTTTTGCTATTGGGCATGTGCACTTGCCAGAGTGTAAGAGACAGAAAGCAAAAAATCATCCCCCTCGGAGGCAGGGGTGACTCCACAGTCCCTTCTCCACTCTTCTCCTGGGATTCTGGGCATGAATGCATATGCACCCAGTGTGAGTTTTAGGCCTCTAGGTCTGGGACTCGAACCTCAGTCGGTCATATGGGAGTCCAGCACCTCAACCACCACACCACTTGCTGGTCCCTTGATAAGCGCATTTTTAAAAGAAGAGTAAACCAGGAAAATCTATCATTTTCTTAATAGCTGGCATCACTATTGATGCTTTTTCCAAGAGCGACTTAGGTTTTTTTTTTTTTTATTATTAGAATTTTTTTCCCTTTCCAAAAGCATGTCCTGTATTGCCGACCATTTTTTTATGTCACAACCTGAAAACAAACCAAAATCTGGTCACTCTCACCTGGTGCTGGACCATGTCGTGGTGGCATTTCATGCACAGACGCCTGCCTGCCTTGGAGCTGCTGTGAGAAGCTTCTTGCTGCACTGCAGGATTATTCGTGACATTTATAGGAGCAGGTGATGCTGAGCCCACCTGGGCATTTGTCCCATGGAGAAGCTCTGCCTGCAGGGGGCATCCTAGCATCCCCTGTCCCTGGAGCTGGCTCTCCCCTGGTCTGCCTGTGGGCCCAGCCTGGCTGAGTCCCAGATGCAGCTGTTTCTCGTTGGGTCTGCAGAGCCATTGTTTCCCATGCAGCCTATCTCTGGTATGAGACTGGGTTTGAGGAATTCATAGTGAGAGGTGAGGGCCTATTTCAGGGGTCATTAAGTGTGGGCCACCTTATATAGGGAGCTCTGCTCTGGGATGGTGGATGTGTGTTTTGGTAGTGGGTTTTAGTAACACAACCAGTTCCCCTCTGTGTCAGGGAAGGGAGGAGACGCCTGTAACTTAGGAACCCAGTAGCCCTTGTTGGGTTCACAGTGAGAGTGCAATGGACAGCCCAGACAGCTGCCCCTAAGGTGATAGTAGGGGCATGGAGATGTGGTTAGTGTGCTCATGCTTGGGTAACTTCACCACCACCCGCTGCCCATGGCCCTGTGGTGGCAGTGACCACCCACTTATGGGCCCTTCTCTGCCACTGCCTCTCCTCTCCCTGGAAGCCCCTTGGTGGCTTTCAGGTACCTCTACCCCATCACCTGGTGAGCTTGCCTCCATGGCCTTGTCTGCTGTTCAATGAATGCCTCGTTCCCTCCTGCTCAGGTGACATGCTGGCTACTCCGGGATGTCTCACATGTATCCTTCTCCCACACAGAGTTTGCTGCTTGGTGAGGCATGGGTCCACATCATCACTCTGCGCCATCAGGACTTCTGTGTGGTGTGGATATGGGGTGTGGGAGGGCAGCAGGAGAGTGTCTCAGAAGAATCTTCTGCCCTCACAGCCTTCATGGAATTCCTTGGTGGAGCTGCCAGGAAGCACAGGAAGCCACATCATCAAGGCTATTTATTGTGCTGCTCTGTAATTATAAAAGCTCAGGACAGATTTAGCGTGCGAAGTGGGGATTAGTAAAGTCAGAATCCTCACTGGGGACCTCAGAAATGCATCCATTGTGGTATGATGTAGAGACAGGATTGGTGAAACTGCAAGCGGGTAGAATTGTGATTCTGATGTCAGGCTCAGTTCTGAGATCTGGCTCTGCCATTGAGTGGCTGTGTGACCTTGAGCAGGTTTCTGCTGCATGTCATTGCATGCCCTGTGTTAAATAGGGTCACCTGGTGAGGACACAAGATTCCTCGCTCTGTGTCTTAAACAGTGCTGACACCCGGTGCATGCTCAGGAGAAGTCAAATTTGATGATTCTCAGATATGTTAAGTGTCTGTACATAAGCACACACACACACAAACATGCACATGCACACACATGTTTGTTCACATGCCAACACACACTTACAGACCAGAACATACCAACACACTTATGTGCACATGTGCACACACATGTTCATGCTCATGCATATACTCATACACTTACATATACTCTTTTTTTTTTTTTTGGAGAGGTTTTTGTCTTAGGGCGCGTGTGTTCGCCAGACAGACAGAGAGAGACAGAGAGACAGAAAGCGAGAAATCACCCCCCAGGGGGATGGCCACGCCGCAATCCCTTCTCCTCCATTCTCCTCTTGGGATCTTGAGCATGCACGAACACACGCCTGGCGTGAGTTTAAGCCACCGGGTCTGGGACTCGAACCGCGGTCGACTATGTGGGAGTCCAGCGACATAGCCATTATGCTAACTGCTGGCCCGACGCTTACATATACTCTTGCGCTTACACATGCTCATGCTCTCACAGTTGCTTGCACACACATGCTTACATGTGCTCATGCACACATTAATTTATGCCAACGCAGATGCTAACATGCACACATATGCACACATTCATGTTCATATGTACATGCACAGGCATACACACATGCTTTCACATTCGAGGTGCAACATACTAGAGTGGTAGTAGTGGCTGTCTTTACTTGGGAGATTATGACTGATTTGGTTTTGGAGTTTTCCAGAAGCTCTGAAGTCATATATGCATTACTTTTTTATAATTGGTGGAAAATTACCCATAGATTATTGAAGATTTTAAGAAATTCTGAAGCTTTTCTAAAGAACGTTTAGTAATGGAAAAATACAAGACACTAGAAATAAAAAAATAATAGAAAGTACCAAGGTGGTATGATTCCTATTCTAAAGAGAATTCCCGCTCTCAGATGCGTGGCTCTTGTCCTTGCTGGTCCTCCCACCCCGTGGGCTCACAGTCTGTGGGAACATATGGATGAGAAAAAGCCCCGTGGTGTGGCTTTGCAGGCATTTCTGGCAATCCTGACCGTGTGTGCTGCTTTCCTTCCCCAGGTCGTGCACACGCATAAGCCGCACTTCATGGCCTTGCACTGTCAGGAGTTTGGAGGGAAGAACTACGAGGCCTCCATGTCCCACGTGGACAAGTTTGTCAAGTAAGTCTCGGGGGGCAGGTGCTTGATGCTCTTCCACTTCCCCCAGGGGTCTGGGTACTGGCAAGGGTCTCCTGATGGCATTGTGGTCTCCAGCTCTCCCATTTAGGACTTGTCTAGGGATTCTCTGGGTTCAGTTACATTTTTTTCCAAAGAGAGAAGACATGGCTCACATGTGTGGCAGCTGCTTGCCTCCAAGAGCAGTGAGCGTCTAGGGGACATGAGCCCTAAGGACCAGGCAGAGTGATCCCTCTCAGTCTGTGCCTGGTCTCTGGTGCTGGCTGGCCTCTTGCAGTGGATGACAGTTGATGGACAGAACAGATTTTTACCTATAGCTGCCAACAGCCACTGTCACAGGGAGATGCACTCAGAGCCTCAGTTGTAGGGTACAGGAGAAAGAGGTCACGTGCACAGTCTCATCTGCCACATGTCTGATTTGTGACTCCTTGGAAGACACAGCCACTTGTGCCTGCCTGGAAAGAAGGGACACTGAGGGCTCTGGCTGGTTCCGGGAAGTGGACACATAGGGAAGTGCAGAAGAAAGCAGGGAGGAGCTTGCCCTTGAGTTCCTGTGGTGCAGAGTGGGGGTCCCCATCCAGCTTGGGTTGCAGCAGCTGCCGGAAAAACCCTTCTTCCTCTGCTCTGCCTTTGGGCTCTGAGGCTCTTGGAAGCCCCTGGCTGCCTGTAGGCATTGTTGTCTCCATTCTGCTTCCTCTGCTCTGCCTTTGGGCTCTGAGGCTCTTGGAAGCCCCTGGCTGCCTGTAGGCATTGTTGTCTCCATTCTGCCATCAGGTTCTACTTGTGGAAGCTTCCTGGTTGCAACCAGACTTACTCACCAAGGAGTGAAGAGAAAGACCAAACATATTTCTGCAAGGGGTTTACAGAAGTCTTAATGCAGTTTTCCATGGTAGGATGGATCAATTCTGGAAAGATGGAAGATCCTCAATAGGATTGCTTCTTGTCCTGTTTGTTCCTCCTGGGACACCATTTTAAAGGATATCACTTAGAAGGTTGTAACTGTAACCATACCTAATTTATCAGGAATTCTAGAGAACAGTGATGCTGTTCAGCTTGTGGCCTGCTCTCCACTGGACAGTGACTCCTCTGCAGGGCACAGCTCAGAGTGGGCCTGGTGTAGGCAGGGGCTGGGTCCTGAATGTGTAGCCCCAGGCCTCAGTCCCTGTCTCTACTGTAGCACTTTCCTGTGGATCTCCAGTGTCCTGCAGGTGCCACCTTTCTCATCTCCCTGAGTTCCCATCTGCAGCTGTGTGTTCTTGACAAGAGAGGCAGGAGGCATTGCACCTGGGGCTTACGCCCCTGCTGATGACAGACATGAGGGCTGAGGCAGTAGTGTCTGCAGAGGGACATTGGGGCCAACTTGCTCACGACTGGTAGTTTCTCCCCAAACAGTGTGTGACTGATAGAAAATATTTAAATATTCACACAAGCAGTTGGCACATGATACTTCTGAGAGGATGATTGCTCACACGCTATGGCTGGATCCAGCTTCTGTTTTGTGCCTTCCTGTTTTCTGCACGTACCTCAGGAAGCCATATTCAGGTGCACGAAACTCCTGACCTTGGACAGGCAGCCTCTCTGGCTTGAGAACAGGGGTCTGCACTGTGTATGGAGCCAAGAGGTGGTGTCAGCTTCTTGCTAAGCCTGCTGTTGTCCCTGTCAGTGACTGACTGCGAGTGATCAGGGACAAAACTGCAGGTTTCTGGAGACACTGCCCAGAATGTGGGGGTCTCCTGATAGACTTGTTGGCAACACTCTGGGGAGCAGCCAGGGGAAGCTCATGGACTAACTGAGGCACGTGACTCTCTGCGGATGTCTTCCCTGTCTTGACTGCCTGCCTCCTCCCTGCCCTGCTGTCCTCTTTCTGAAGACTGGCCTGGGGCAAGGCAGTGTGTGTCGGGAGGCCTGCTGCAGGTATGTTGGCAGGGGTCTCATCCAGGTCTGAGGTACATGGGCCACAACTAGGTTTTGGTCAGGACCTGGGTCCCATGCAGATTGGACCTGGGAAATGTGTCAGTTGCAGATATTACGGCCACCTAACTTCACGTGGGAGCCTGACACTGACTGCTTTCAGGATGACGGTGACAGGTGGTCTCACCCCACATGTCCCGCAGATGACTCATGCTGGGGCCTCAGTCATCTTGCACATTGCCTCCTGTGCTGTGGGCAGCCAGGGCCTGGTGGTGCCCAGTCCCTTGAGGACAGTGCTGATGGAACAGCAGAAAACAGTAGCTGTTTCCTAAATACAAGTTCAGAGATGTGTTTCTGCAGGCCTGAAATAAAGAATGCAACTGCAAGACCTGTATGTTGGTTTATTTCATCTGTTTATTTATTATAAAATTGCCTCTAGCTAAACTGTGGTTTCTTTTCCCAGCACTACTCTTTTTTTCATACCCAAGTTAAAATAAACACGCAATCCACAAAGTAACTGGTACCCTTTATGTTGTAGAATTTTGCTACACATGCTTTCTGAAATATATTTTCTGAGTATGTATGTGGAGTTTTGGAGGTTTTTGTAGACAGGGTCTTGCCATGTCACAGTCTTCCTGCCTCAGCCCCCTGAGTTCCTGGACAGACATGTGCTACTACACCCAGCTCTTTTTAGAGTGAACCCAGAATTATAATGGGGTCTCCCATATATCCACAGCCTG